CCACTTGGGTCAGACTCTTCATGGGCTATAGGAACTTATTTTAAGGTCCAAGTCGAATATACCCGAGACTCCTAACTTGTATTTTGAGGCGTTACATATTATGACCCCTCTTAACATATATAAGACTTTAATAACGTCTGAGAACCTTAATAGGGTTTTGGGTGAAATAAAGAGTCATTTTCGTTCTCAAACAGGGTATTTTTGGGCTTAAGTATAAGGTACTGAAAGAACAGTACATATATTGTTCATCAAATAGCCTAAAACAAGGAGTTTTAGACTGAGAATATCTATACTCATTCAACGGGTATCGACACTGTTCATAGAGTGCCCACGGGTGGAGTATCAATACCTGATATAGACTTCGGATTCCAGTAACCATTTTTTGTATCAGTACTCATAGGAGTATCGGCATTAAGGGTAGGGTATTGATACTAAGATATTTTTTAAAACATCGAAACAAAATTTGGTATTGATACTCAGGATATTATCGGCACCCCAGTTAAGAAGTATCGATACTCTAACTAAGGGCATCGATACTACCCTTTCTTCTTAGTTTCAATAGCCATTTAGTATCGATATTTAGGGGTGAGTATCGATACTCACAGATCAATACAAATATTGAAGGGCTCAGTATTGGTACCAACATACATGATTGGGTAAGAAACTTAAATGATTAAGGGGTTAGACTTGAGGGTCACAATAACACTAGAACACCATTAAATAAAACTACAAGTGAGAACATTAATAAATGCAATACAACTAGAAATGATAACATATAGGATGACATAAAACTAACCTTGTTTGATGCTCGAAAACAACCGAAAAACTCGAGTTACTTTAGCAAGTGATGATCGTCTTGTTGTTAAAATATCAAGATATACCTCAGCTAGTGTTAAGGCACTTCAATTGCTAACTGGGCGCAGATGCCCTAAAACTCGATGGAGTAAGTTGATCGGGTGTACGTTTATGATATAGTTTTAGATCTCACTACAGATACACGAGGGTATCTCAAGCAGGCTAGAGGGGTGTGCACTCCGAGATGCAGAACCCTCGGCCACACCATGATGCCTACCTCAGCTTTGCATGTCACCATCCTTGTGTGTTCATACTTATGTCACTAGCATGCTCATTTAGTGAATACCTTTAGTACAATACATTTATTAGTATGGCACTGAGCACGTAAGCTCACAGTTTGGAATGTGTTTCCTGCGTAAGTTCTTAGAAAATCATTCGTGGAGCGTTATCATCATTAGATATTACAGATCAGCCGAGACTTTAGAGTATGTCTTGATTTATATTTACAGGACATGTACTATTTGTAGACCCTTTGTATTCAGTTGTAACTCTGTTTTGTTTTAAATATTATATTACTATTGGGGTGTATTTTGAGAGCTCTCCCATATTTGTAAATTCTGACTATTACATTTTCATTTCATATTACTATGGATGGATGTTTTTTAGATGATATTTTACAATTGATTTTAAATAAAATTTTTGGGTTAACCACTTGGTAGTCGTGTGTGACATTTTAATCATTCAAATTTCGGATCGGACTAGATTAGGATGTTACAGTGCAGGCACCTAAAGTTGAGTACACTCTACTGGTGTGCAACCTGCTGTTGGAGCTACTTCTCTCTATGAACTAACGCGGCAATAATCAGAAGTATCAAGCATTTCCAGGGAGACCTTGTGAACCTGAATGCCAATACCAATTGAGGACCGGAGATTGTAAATTTGGATGATCTTGCTGGTATCATCATGGCTGCGCCACTAACAAATTGAGTCCTCGGCCCATTGGGACTCCCTTTATGTCCCGCATGTGAACATTCTCAGTCTCTGTTTTTATTAGACCATTGTGTGGTACTCTGTTATGATCATTGCTTTTACTTGGACTTGGCTTTTATAGAGATCTTGAATTCTAGGTTTTGAATTATAGAGCAAGTTTTGAATACCTCTGAAATTGACGTTGCTTGCTCTACAAGTCTCAAAGTCTGTGTCTTATCTGTTATGAGCCTAGATGTATCTTTTTATTAAGTAATCTTACACAAGAACCAAAACAAAAACACAAAAAATCATCCGTATGCACACACACTGGCTAGATGTGTTATCTTGGGTAGCTCTAAACATATTTATTTATTTGAATAGTTTGAGTATATTAAATGATTATAATATAATATGCGTTTATGATATTTTTAATTATTGATAATACGTATGTATCATGAAACCGTAGTTGTCTGAAACCAAAATGTTTTAAGAGAATAATACTCTCTCTAACTACTAGGATCACTCGATTGGTTGAACCGAAATTCATTTCACAAAACCAGAAACTGAGGGCGTGATACTGATATTGAGTGGGAGCACCAATGATGTATATTCCCTGTTAATATGTATGGCATTGCTACCTTTCTAGACGCAAGTCTCATAATTAATTCCTTCAGGTGGACGTCTAATTATTTGGTTCCCTAATCTTTTACATAGCACCTGGTTAATACATTTTATTTATTCCCCCGTGTCCTGGGTATTGAGTGCAATCCTGCATAAAAAAGGGAAGGAAAACATACCACTCACTAGTCATACAAACTCATTAATAATTTGATTAGTTTACGATGTATTAATTATATATAATGTTATATATTATTAATAAATCAGTATACTATTTTAAAATTAAATTTATTTTGAATACCATTGTGTATATGTATAATTATACACCATCAATAAATTAAATACTCATCGAACTTGACCTAAAATGATCCAATCCGAATTACTTGGTTACCACTTTAAAGTGAAAAAATTATTAAGGTTCACGGAAAAGATCACCGGAATAATTTTTTTTCGAAATCACATATCCACGTTTAGTTCAAGAGCATTCCCTCCCAGAGGTAATGAAATGCTTCCAACGTTAACAATTTTTGGATCTTTTCCTGATGATGTCATTATTTTATTTTCTTAGATATTATACATGTCTCTCTCCTTTGAACAATAATATCCTAAAATAGTATAATTATTCTAAAAGGATCTTTTTATATATAAATATACGAGTATAAATGGTTTAGAGTTTTTTTAATATTTATTATAAAATAATGATGCATATAACTTAAAAATAAAAATATATCAATTTTTTTATTTTGATTGTTTTTATGTTTGTGTTTGATTCAAGTTTGATTTTTGGTATGTGTTTTATTTCGTTTATTTTTTAGGATTCATTTTCATAAAAGAATTTCAAGTTATATTTTTTAATATTTTATATTAATTTTGTCATATAATTTGATTTGATATTTTATTGTACAACTCATGTAGTATAAATAAAAAAAATATAGTAATTAACACATACTTATAGATGTATAAGTATGTATATCTTTCAATATCTTATTATCTAAAAATAAACACATACTTACACCTGTGTAAGCATGTACATCTTCAAATATATTGGTTCCTAAAATAAACGCATACTTACACAAGTATAAGTATGTACATCCCAATATCTTGGTACCCAAAAATAAACACATAGTTATATTGATGTAAATATCTTTTTGTATTTTTAAAGAAATAAATACCGGTATAAGTATGTATATATTCCAATATCTTATTACCTAAAAATAAACACATACTTACAACACCAGTGTAAGTATGCACATCTCCAAATATCTTGTTACCTAAAATAAACGCATACTTACATTGGTGTAAGTATGTACATCCCCCAATATCTTGGTACCTAAAAATAAACACATAATTATATTGATGTAAATATCTTTATATTTTCAAAGAAATAAATAACTAAAAATAAAGAATATATATTAAATTATTTGTGTACATAATTATATTGATGTAAATATATTTTTCTATAAACTTTCATATAAATATTTTGATTTTAATATTGAGAATCAATTTGTTAAAAAAATATATCTCAATGACAATTTGGTAAAGCATATATTTTTATTATCTTATATTTATTGAATCAAACATTATAATTTTATATTCCTGCCAAAATAACTCAAATAAGATAATAAAACATTTCCATTAATATATTAAGTAGGGTAAACTACACGGATGACTACTTAACTATTATTCCATTTTACTTTGATTATCAATGATTCGATTTAATCAATTAGATCACCAAACTATTTAAATGCTTCAATCAAACCATTAATCTAAATTAAAATAAATTAATAACGTGACAATTAAAAAAATTAGTATAATTTTATATTTTATTTTAATTAAATTAAATAAATTTAATATCTAATTAAACATGCGCTTTTCATCATATAACTAAAGAGTGCTTTATTAATTGTAATTGATTTATTTCTCATCCAAATTTACGATGATATCACACCTCATTAATGAAAATTAATTGAAGATGTAGCCGACTAGATTCGAACTTACTTGCGTATTGAAGGAGAGAGAGACATCCCTACGCCACTCTACAACTCTTGCTATAAATTATAACAAATTTTATATAACCTATACTTGTTGAGGACAGAAACAAAGAAAATATTTCAATCGAGGGAATTGATCCTGGAACTTCTAGTAAAAATGAAGCACCTTATGCACCAAGCCAAATAATATAACTGAAAAATATTATACAATATTATTTATATATCTTTTTATTTTAATGTAAAAATATATTTTTTATTTATCGCCACTTAAAATTAAAAATATTTTAAAATATGTGTGTGTATATATAATGTACATAAAATATGCAGAAATATAAAATGATATTGTTGAGTGATGTATTAGAGTTGAATTAAGCAAGGTTTTTTTAATGAAGCAATGATTACCTCCCCTAAAAGCAAGGCAAACCCTACAGGAATCCTGCAAATTAAACAAGAAGAAAGAAAAACCATGTCATAAAGGCCATGCTCTCACTCACCACCTTCCACCGAAAAGTGAGAAGCTCACTCGAACACGTTCTTGACTTTCGATTAAGCATTATTATAAGCACTCATTAAAAGCACATAATATTATTTTCAAAGATTTATCATCAAATGCCCTTTAATCCGGACGAGTTCATGTTACTTTTACCTCACTCCTGCCTCAGGAGAATATGAAACCATAGAACTGACAAAGAGAAGCATCTGGGGCTGCTAAAATGCTGTACTAAAAAACAACTTGGTGGGGGCTGAAATCTGGGATTTTTGTCTGGTTTGTTTGTGAGAAGAAAATGGGTGTTGTTACTGTTGCTGAACTGAAGCCGAGTATGTCTGGAAAGAGGTCTTTTCGTCAAAATTCCAGCAGTATCAGGCATGCCACAGAATGGTAACTTTCTTCTTTCTTGCTGTTTGTGACTCTAAATAGCTCTGTTTTCAGACCTACATAACAAGATAATCGTGGTTTATTTCTATTCTGGACAATATATAACATAAAATGTGAGCCCTAATTCTTACCCAGATCTTTGAAACAACACTCAAGCTATAATTATAATAGGTTGAGTGAGATGTCCATTGAATGTAACCCAACTTTTAACCAACCCAGTGGGGGCGAATTTATGGGTTAAAGCATTGGAATGCGGGTTTACGACAGAAGGAACAATTTGCTATCTAAATTATTGGCTCTAACAAGCATGTAGAAATGAATTCATCTCTGTTTTTTCCTTTACCAGTTAGGATTCTGTCACTATGCAGCTGAATTTAATATAGTTTCTATCTTGCAGGCCTATTTCTGATGTTTCGAGTGATCTTATCGTCGAGGTCGGAGCATCAAGCTTTGCACTTCACAAGGTAATCGGTTTCGGCATCTTTTAGCGGCAAATGTTTAGTTATCACGGTGCCTATAAGAACACTCACAAGTTGCAACATCATACAGATTTAATAGTGAAAATGGAACTATGAAGCATATAGGCCTACAAACTGGTTGCACCATTATAATAGAAGCTTTACTCATGCAGTTGCAAATTTTCTTTTCAGTTCCCCCTCGTTTCTCGGAGTGGAAGAATCGGGAAGGCGTTGATTGACGCAAAGGATGGGAGGATTTCGCGCTTGAATCTCAATTCTATTCCAGGTGGAGCAGAGGCATTTGAGCTAGCTGCCAAGTTCTGCTATGGGATAAATGTTGAGATCACATTATCAAATGTTGCAATGTTACAATGTGCATCACATTTCCTGGAAATGACAGAAGAGGTTGCAGAGAAGAACCTGGAAGTTCGCACTGAAGCTTATCTGAAGGACATGGTAATCCCGAACATATCGAGCTCGATATCGGTTCTTCACCGTTGTAAAAGTCTCTTGCCTGTATCCGAAGAGATCGGCCTTGTTAACAGGCTTATCAGTGCAATTGCCAATAACGCCTGCAAAGAACAGCTCACTTCTGGCTTAATGAAACTTGATCACAATTTTCCATCGAAAGCTATGCAGAACATGGCACCAGAAACGCCATCGGATTGGTGGGGAAGGTCTCTGGTGGTTCTCAGTCTAGATTTCTTCCAACGAGTGTTATTAGCAGTGAAGTCAAAGGGTCTAAACCATGATCTGATCATAAAAATTTTGATAAATTATGCTCGGGATTCAGTTCAAGATTTGGTTGTCAGGGACCCTCACTTGGTAAAAGGAATCCTGTTGGATTTCGAGCTGCAAAAGAAACAAAGGGCAATCGTCGAAGTCATTGTTAGCTTGCTACCAACTCAATCAAGGAGGAGTCTTGTTCCCACTGCATTTCTCTCTAGTTTGTTGAAAACTGCAATAGCCTCATCAGCATCCACTTCTTGCAAATCTGATTTAGAGAGGCGGATCGGTCTGCAACTCGACCAGGCAATTCTCGAAGACATCCTAATACCGGCCAATATGCACGGAAACAATCATACGGCCGCCTATGATACAGAGTTGATCCTAAGGATCTTCTCCATCTTTTTGAACTTGGATGATGATGATGAGGAGGAGGATAATCCCTTGAGAGATGAAAGTGACATGGCATATGATTTTGACAGCCAAAGATCTCCCAAACAAAGTTCAATCCTCAAAGTATCCAAGTTATTCGACACTTATCTCGCAGAAGTCGCACTAGACCCAAACTTATTGCCATCAAAATTCATAGCACTTGCAGAGTCGCTTCCAGACCATGCTCGTGTTGTTAGCGATGGATTATACAACGCCGTCGATATATTCCTAAAAGTGAGGTTCTCACAATAAAGCACTAAGTAGTTCCATTTTCATAATTTCATTTGCGGGCTCTTAGAATGGTTTTCTGCTTAATTCCATTTACAGGTTCATCCAAACATAAAGGATTCCGAACGCTATAGACTATGCAAAACCATAGACTGTCAGAAACTATCTCAAGAAGCCTGTAGCCATGCGGCGCAGAACGAAAGGTTACCGGTGCAAATGGCTGTCCAAGTGTTATATTTCGAACAAATCAGGCTTCGGAATGCAATGAGTGGAGGCGGCCACAATCAGTTCTTCTTCGGATCTACCAATGGTCATTTCCCTCAACGTTCGAGCAGCGGTGTAGGAAGCGGAGCCATCTCGCCGAGAGACAACTATGCATCGGTGAGACGAGAGAACCGAGAGCTGAAACTCGAAGTCACGAGAATGAGAATGCGGCTAACCGACCTGGAAAAAGATCACGTGTCGATGAAACAAGAGTTTGTTAGACCCCATCCCGCTAACAAGCTACTCAAATCACTCACCAAGAAGCTAAGAAAGCTTCATTCCTTGTTCAGGATCAACAATCTGAAGCCTGCTGGGAGTAAAGCGAATTCGGAATCTCGATTCTCGTCCCGTAGGCGACGGCGTTACTCAGAATCATGACTATTGGAAAAGGTACGGATAACTGACAGAGTATACAGAAATTATGTGCAGTGTGAGATTTGAGTGATAGATTCTGGGGTTGATTTGTTCATTGAAATCATTTCCATGACATTTTGAAAACAGTCTCCAGGGAATGTGAAGCACACAGTAAAAATATTTTCTTCAACGGCCAGCTATTTGGCGAATGTGCGACTACAAGAGTAGAAAGGTAAACGAACTGAAAGTTGAGTGAATTCTTGACCAACCGTTTGACGAAAAGTTTAATAAATAAACAAACATTTGTGAATGTTCTGTAATCCGTTCGTCTATGTTCGTTCATTTATGTTTGTTAGTTTATGTTCGTTTATGTTCTCGAGACACGTTTGAAATATTAAGACTTAATAAATTTTAACCTTAAACCCATTAATATTTTCATACTCAATTAATTTAAACTCAAATACAAAAAATACTCAAATCAATTAAAGAAAATATAAATCCTAAAATTATTTGGAAAGAAAAAAACTCCTCAAATATAAACTCAATTAATTTTATGTTCGTTCATTTATATTCGTTCGTTTGTGTTCGTTTACGTTTATTCATTTGTGTTCATTTACGTTCGTTTATTTGTGTTCATTTATCATTTTAATGAACGAACACGAACAAACTAAATTTCTTAATGAACGAACATGAAAAATAAATTTTATTTATTTAGTTATTTGTATTCATTCATTTATTTAATTAAAGTTAAACGAACGAACATGAACATATCATCGTTCGTATTCGTTCTGTTCATTTACGAGACTAAATATGTTTATGAGTGAAAGTACGCGGTCAGCTTGTTAAGCCATCAAAATGTTTCATCCCATGTACGATTTTTTTTTGCACCATGTGATTAATTTTCCTAGGATGTATGATTAAATTTCATGTAAATTAACACATTTTCTCTATTGTTTTTTACCAATCTTTTCATTTCTTTTTTTAAAGTCGGATTTGACGACGTCTTGATTAATCAAGATACACTTATTTTGTATTTTTGTTGGTCTTCACTATGAATCTTTAATTTTGTCGTGATCTTTCAATAGTTTACTGTCTTTTTATAATTCGTTTACTGATATAATAAGATCTATTTTTATTTTATCTTTGTTCGAATTATTTATCGTAATTTTAACCTTTTCTTATATGAACTTAATAAGATCTCGAGTAGCCCAAAAGGGACAGAGACGATAGGCACGGGCTTGAAGCAAAGCATGGTGAACCAATGGGTTAGCACTCTAGTCTAGATGATACAGCTACAATGAAAATAGATTCCGATGCAAATGAAGACAAACCCTTGACATATATCATTAAATGATTAGTCGATTTACTGCAGAGAGAATGTATGTGCAATAAAAAGTAATGCAACGATAGAAATCGTTAAGTGGCAAATCAATCGGTGTTTAGGGTTCTCTTATGCTAAAAGCTTAGCACTCCAAAATTACTAAAAAAAATTAGGTTTAAGGAATTTTGTCCATGTAATATATCCAATTTATTATTTTCACCTTTATGGTTTTTTCCTCAATTTAGTCTTTGGAGTTGTTTAGTAATATATCTTAGGCCTCGAAGTTCGTTGATCATTTTGACTAACAAAACCGTGAATCTTATGCATCTATAAATTAAGGGATTAGGCTAAAATATTTACTAAACACAATAATTAAAAAAAATCTTCAAATTTTTATTATTTATTTTAATGAAATTAAGAGATTAATTATGTCAAATTTTTAGGGATTTTTTTCTAACCGTTGTATTTAATAAATATTTTATTATTCTTTTAATAAATGTCACGTCGTCATCATCAAGGCACGTTAGTAATATTATCTTATGTGGAAATTGCTGACGTCGATAAGCACAAAAGATTAACAATTCTATTTGTCAAAATAGACTTTGAGGGCTAAAATGATGCACCTAAATAATTTTTAAGACTAAATTGATGTGAAAAAATCCTAAGGATAAAAATGGTAAATTGAATCTACTAAATCGACAAAAGTAGCTCTTAAGCCAAAAAAAAAATAAAGTTAATTTATTCAAAACAATATGATGTTATAGGTATAACAATCTGAGACGATACAACAAAATAATAATTAAAAATAAATAAATAAATTACATTAATTTGTAACAAGGTGTCATGTCACCTTCAACGCATGCAATACCAAATAATTGATATGTAGCAACAAAACCAAGAAACATATTCGTAAATTCTTTCCATGGTGATTCAACAAATTGCGGCAAAAGACGATCAACACCTCGGTAGGATCTCGTCGTAAAATTCGTGTACATGAAATAAGAATAAAAAAACGATTAATAATATAGAAAAATATTCTATTTAATAATCAAAAGGAGTATAGAATCAACGATTGGAATCGAGTTGAGGCCTGCAACTACGCAGTTTCCTTAAGATAAATTTTCGGTCACTTCTTGATGCTTGAGATCTTTGGTTGTCTGTCTCTCAGGATACAATAACGAGATGATCAGCGCATAGTAACACACTGCTGAGATCATGAACTATTCCTTGTTTTTGTCTATTACCAAAAACTAGAGAAAATGGTTCATTGATTTGGTTTTTGAGTTGTTTTTTGAATTGTCTTTAACCTAGTAGGTTAACACGACATTTATATAGAGTTCACATTTTGAATAATTGGAAAATTTTGACCTAATGAAACATTAATGAGAATCAAACAATTAAGCAATTTCTAAAATTATTGTTTTGATTAAAAGAACCTTTTAATATTTATTCTTTTAATTCCAAAACAAATTTTGAAAAAGATATTTCTATTTGAGGAAAATATCTCACATTTGGGTTAAAATATCCGTAAGTCCACAAAGAGTTAGACTGGTTTAGACATTCACGTTACTCACATCGTGTATGTCTGCACATTTACAAACCAGTAATTAGTTTCACATTTTCCTTAACAACGTTTAGATCAATTTCTCATTCAAATCTCTAAAATTATCAAATTTTTTCCAACATATGACAAATTGCTCTTCCTTGTTTGCCCTTCTCCTTATCCAAGCTTGAGATAAATTATTCTTCAGACCAAGATATGAAAAGGAAAAAAAAGAATTCATCTCACACGATCCTCTCCATTAATTTTTGGACACAGAGATAGGGGACTCTAAATGTGGTATTAATCTTTTATCCGATCACGTGTTATTCCATGTTTTTCTCACTTCAATCTCTAATCTGATTTCATGAAGTCCTACAGGTGTCTATCCAAGAAGCCAAGCCATTGTCCTGGTTTGTCAATTCGATCGACGTGTCACGCGGAACAACATGTATTTATCTTTCCTGAATCTTTTGGTTTGGGGAGTTATGCACCTTTTACCCGACTCAAATCTAACCGATTTTTTGTGATAAAATTCGAATCTAACCCAAGTCAACCTAAAATAATATGTTTATTAAAATATTATTTTTAATCAATAAAAATAGGGATTTAATTGAAAGAAAATAATATATAGAGAGATATTATTGTAATTATCCCTAAATATATAAGGTAAAATTATATTTTTTAGATCTATTCTGATCGGATATTTTTCACCCTAAATCTGACCCAACCCTAACTTAACCTTAAAAAACCCAGCTGACTTATATATTACTATTTTGTGGATGAAAAATATCCGCTGACCCTAAATATATAGGCATTTTGATCTAGATGTTAACCTGCTGACTCTGATAGGATAAAATTTTATCTCAAAATCTCAAACGATTATCATATCTCAACCAAATGTTAATATCCAACCGAGAATGTTATCAATTTTTTAACAAAAAATGACGAGGTTAGAACATATGAATAGTCAGATGATTATTTTATAACTTTTAATTGTTTGGGGACTAAACAAAAACGTCCTATAGTTGGGGGGTCATTTTTGTACTTTACTCTTTAATTTATTGTTTGTAATTGATAAGATTAGATCGGCAAATCTTTACTTAAACATAAGAACCGAACTGTATCGCAACGTTGGAAACGTAGCTCACGCATTACTTGATTCCACGAACAAACTTTAATGCCAACACCAAGGTTCAAGCCACTAAATGCCATGCAGTTGCAGATATACCTTTATTTAGCATAGACAAGGGATAACACTATATATGACCCTGGTCAGCCCCGAAAATAGTGTACAAGGATATGCTCTGCAAAAATATCATTGTATATACCCAAAGAGAAATACAGAGAAAGCCGCATCAATTATTTTTTGTTTACAGAAAGTTAGGCATGTGTGCATGGTGGTAGCGTCTGTCAAATCCATATGGCTCCGGCCCTTATGAGTAATGGGATAAGCTGGTTCTTCACTTGCAGGGTCATGATCATTTGGTTAGGACCTCCAATGAGTTGCTGCCCTATGAAAACTGCCGGCACACTCGACCAGCATCCCATCTGCTGCAGTGCCCTTTCAACTTGTTGCCCATCTTGGAAATCGTCGAGCTCGTAAACCATCGGATTCGCCCCGAACCCACTGATCAGAGTCTTGATGGTATGGCTCATGCAGCATGTTGTCCGGCTGAAGATCACCACTGGCATGTCCGCAATCATCCTTGTAACCACTTCCATTGTTTGATGCTGCTGGGAAAAGAAAGTAGTTTTAAATGCTAGAAAAAAGAAAGAGAGAAGTTAATGATTTTGAGTAAAATGAAATTGTAAAAGAAAAAAGAGGTGACCGCAAAAAGACTGTTAGCAGTAACAATTAAAGAAAACACAAGAAGATAATGGGATATTACTGTTTTGTGGAGGAATTAATATCTTAGAATCGATTTTGTCCTAATTGATACAATTAATCTCGGAGATGTTAGGACATTAATCTCGTATCGAAAAGGAATAAAAAAATCTAAAATTTAAAAGTCATGACGTTGAACATCATATCATATCATACATGTCTTTTGGAAAGATGATAACGTTTCATGTGAACCATCACAAAAGTAACACTACAATGAATTACTCTCTGCATTCCTTTTCCATTGGTTGGACTTGGCCTTATCATTCTTCCTCCACAACTTCCCACTATCATTATCATTCGAAGACTTTTCACTGTCACTCGAAAAGCTTGTTTTGCCATCACTCAACTGCTTCTCATCGTCCCCCGCCATTGCCCTTTCCTCGAGGTTTGAAAGACTTGTTTTTACCAATTTCAGTTAACGACTTGGAAATATCTATAACTTTTGAAAGACTCTCGATCATTCCTTGTTACAACTCTTGTTTGGCCCATGGCCTCGGTCAATCTAAGAAGATAAAAGAGTGCATCTCCTTCGCTCATATACGAGACATATAGTATCAACTCATTATAATTCCTGCGCATACCCTCAAACGGTTCCATCGTGTTTTAGATGTCTCAACTTAGATTCTTCGCCATACTCAAGATAAAATTGTTTATTAAATTCGATTTAAAACTCTCCCTATGTATCAATACAAGTGTCTCCATAAAATTCAATCAAAACAGCTAACAAATTTCAATTCATTCAAAAAATAATCTAGTTTCGTTAATTATTTTTATAAATATTTTAATTTATTTAATAATTAAATATCTTAAAACTTTAATTAATTTGATTTTAATAATCGAACCAATCATTTTATGCTCAAAGAAACGAAAATGTAAAACGTAGGATAAACGTTTTTTGTTTTGCATTGATAAGTGATTTTGACTTCAAAAGTACCTTTTAAACGTAATGCTAAATAAAATCTATATGAAAGTTTAAAATTTATATATTTACATTAGATTTAAATATTATTATCTAAATTTAAATTAATCAACTTATTCATTAGATATATGTTAAATATTCACGTTTGATAAAATAAAAAAAAGATTTGGCTGCTGTGCAAACAATTGATTTCGCGAAGGAGATGGGTTTCGAAAGGATCATCGTTGAAGGGGATAGTAAATCAGTCATTGAACGCATCCTCTCTCCGGCGATTGATCTCTCGGTGATCAATGCGTTGACATGCGAAGTGAAAAGGAGAGCTTTAGACTTCCATACATGTGAGTTTCATTATGTACAAGGCGGAAAAACATGGTGGCTCACCTGGTGGCTACTGATCGGAGTTGGGATGGTTTGGACGGGTACTGGGTGGAAGAGATTCCAGGAGCAGCTGAAGCTCATGCGACCAAACAGAGAAGATGGATGGCTCCGTCTTAGGGGGCGGCCGTTTTTTGCAAATGTTCGATTCTGTGATTTTTTCTTTCCTCTGCTGAAGCGTTTCAAAGGTTTTCAGTTGAAGAGCCGAGGAATTCGAAGGGCCAGCATTTCATTCATTTGAGTTTTCTTTTGTTCTTCTCTTAAATGGTCATGGCTATACTCACCAAGATCTTTTGAAGAGGAAGGCTGGTTAACAATTGTGAAACGTAGGCGGCTCTTAAAGTATATGAGTAACTTCGTCGTAGAGTTTTTGTTACTCGTAATTCGAGGATAATATTACTATATATATAATCATATTAAAAATTAAAATATATTAGAATAGAATTTACTCAAAATTTATGTAGTGTGAGATTAGAACTTGAAATCTTATTTAAATCATGTGGATAAACCAAATCCTAATGAATATATATGTTGAAGTTTTAATTTTAAAAAGGAATGTTAGTGATGAAAATCTGTTGTAGGAATAGATGGAGGGATGGGTGTATGATTTTAGGTTAGAGATGAACTTATAAAATTTAAGAGACGAAAATGTATTATCAATTAAAAATACATGAAAATTTAAAAATTTTAGAAAAGGACCGCCCGACAACTCCTCGGTCCATCCCGGGTTGGATGGATGCCTAGTGCAAGAATAGGAGCTTGAAGTGGGCGAGGAGACCGTGTCACGTGCAGTCTGAAACTCGAGGATTCCTGGTAAAAGCTAAAGAGACGACGTAGAATAAACGGTGGAAGAAGATGCACCTACTCATACTGCACTACTCTTTAAAGCCAAAATGGAGATTCGGATGGTCATGTAGGGGCCAAGTAGGTAGCTTAGATTGTCTTGTATTTTGTTCTCTTTGCCTTTTTCATTCCAAGTGTTGCTATAGTATTTGGCCTTTGCTATCTTTGCAGACAATTCTACTTATCCCTCCAATTTATTAGGCATGGATAAGCCTCAAAATATTCTCCCCTCCCCACTCACAACTGGCAAAATAGACCAGGTGATCAGGTAGAGCGATTCCTCCTTTAAAATTTTTGAATTTTTATATATTCTTTTTGATAATTTCTTTTCGTTCTCCTAAAATTTTATAACCCCGTCTCTCTAACGCAAAATTTTGTGTTCGTTCCTAAATACCATTCCGTTAAATTTTAGATGTGTTCACGCATAGAGAGAGATGTATGACTATGAGCCATCACTTTTGTGATGAAGCATGGGTATTTGCTACTTTGTTCATGACATTTTGCTTTCGTCAAATCCCTTGTCCTCTTCAAATCTTTCTGTTTTTACGCACACACGGATACATATTTTTATATAACATGAATTTTGAAACGAGGATCGAAGGGGACCGATGCATGAAAGTGGCAACGAATTGGATACTCTTATCTATCCCACATCAGCAAAAACCAATTTCGCCACGATAAGCTACCAAAAAAAGGTACCATGAAACTCAAAAGGATGGCAGTTCAAAAATCTGTCATGCTCTTGTTAGTTCATCAATGGCCATAATCCACGAAAGCAAGACTACTTTGCAGGGGAATGACATTTTGATGGTGGGATAAGAATCAAGAATCGACACAAAATTTAATATTAGGGGTTAAATTTATAAAATTTTAGGGATGGAAATAAATCATCGATAGAAGATATAAAAAATTATCTAAATTATACGATAATTTAAAATTTTCTTTGGACTACTGCCCCGGCCCCGGCCCCTTATCCAACCCTGGTAAGAACCTTTTTCTCAGTTATCATCTGCATTATCGTCGTGCTCATTAAACAAATTGTAGATAAAATCAATTATATCTCAGACTCAAGAGGAAAAAGTAGTTATTTCCATTCCAGATTATTGGCATTCTGAATTGACTAGAGTGAGAAAAACAATCAATCTACTAATATATTATCATTTGATACGATTAAAGTGTCATTATTCTTGTCTCCCTCGTTGCATTTAGAATCATTTTTGTAATATTCATTACTCTTGATATTGCTACTCAACAGTGCCAAAAAAGATTAGTTTATTGATTATATATATATTCCAAACACAATTTAGACGTACTGACAATCTGGGAAATTTGATTTATTTAGCAATATGATTACTGATTTCAACATGTTTGTATAACACGTACAGTGCCGTCACTGTCATATAAAATCTTATTTATTAAGGAACTTCCTTCCTTTTTATGCTACTTTTACTTTGATTTTTTATTTTGTTTGCATTAAACAATTAATGGAACATCCAACTTTCTCTCCCCGCGCCTTATAAATACGAGCTGATGCAATCTCAAACTCCACCAGAGCTAAGTCTGCTCACTTATTTGCCCGTTCCATCTTTTTTCAGTAGTCAGCTTCTTTTGCTGCTTATTAGCTGCATTAATCTTCTTGTGGTAATGGACAAGGTAAGAGATTTGGCATCGAAGAAGGCAGCTGTGATCTTCACAAAGAGCTCATGTTACATGTGTTATAGCATCAAGACACTATTTTATGAGCTCGGTGCTAGCCCGGCCATCCATGAGCTCGACCACGATCCTAATGGTCGAGACATGGAGCGGGCTCTACGAGGACTAGGGTGCGATCCCTCCGTCCCGGCGGTGTTCATTGGTGGAAGATTCGTAGGCTCAGCAAAAGATGTCATATCCCTTCATGTAGACGGGTCACTGAAACAAATGCTCAAAGATGCAAAGGCCATCTGGTTCTAGCAATAACCATGTATAAATAAAATAAAAAGGAAACAACTTAATTTCCCATTTCGTTGGCAGTTAACCATTCATCTTTGCATCCCGAGAATAGATCGATATGAACCATGCAATATCTGGTTCTAGCAATAACCACGCACTCGAGAATAGATCGACTGATCGAATTGATCAAGCTGGATAAATGAAAATATGAAATTCTACTATTAGTTAATTATTTCACTGATTGTTCTTGTCTGAAATTTAAAATTTCTTCCATCATCAATAAATCGACTAATAAAATTAAGTACAACCAAATTTGTTCCATTTGCAAATGCCAAGATTTGAATCCTAACCTTAATTAAGGAATTTAATGTCTCATCCTAATAGGCCAACTGATTGTTGGTGATAAATTTTATGTTATTAATATATGTATGTCTATCCTAAGAAAATATTTCTGGATCTGATATGAAAACATACAAGGAAACAAAGACTGATGATAAGCAATAGAGAATGTGACTTTGTAGGATTCTTTCCTATCGGAAACAGACATAAATGCATGGCCTTAAATAAAACGTAGGCTCGATCCCACTCAAGAATAGAATAAAGTTTTCACGAAGCAGAAATGCGTTTAACTGTTGTTGTTTCTGGTAATGAAGAATCATATTGGTCCATTTAAAAAATTATGCCTTCTGTCATGATTCATGAATTTGACTATACTTGCAAAAGCAACATCATGCTGATGAAACTTTTGAGGGTATTACAGAATTTTCTGTGCTTTTTTATTTGAAGGTGTGAACTAATTTTTAAGGAGTTTACATCAAAGTTGTTAGTTCCTCACTTTCTGGCTCTGTTTCTTCATTGACTGCACATATGACCTACGGTCAAGACGTCAGTTATCTGTTAGAAAGCTTAGTTAATTATTTTATATCAAATTATGTGTATATGTTTTGCAAAAAAAATTATTTGCATGTGTCCATATTTTCTTTTTGATTAATCTGAGGTAAGTATAAGACAGTATTTGTTTAAAGATAACTTTCAACAATTTGACATTGAATACTCACACCTCTTGCATTCTTGGTGTTCGAACCCATATCCAAGTTCCCAATTTTTTGAGAATTAGAGACATTTTCGTGATGTGAATGTGTGACGTAGTACATCGGTTTTTGAGATTTCTCAATACCTTCTATGGTTCTGAGATATGTGAATGTTATGATGATATTCAATTTTTTGACCGGGGTGACATTGATTTGGTTATGAAAAACTACATATCGTATTTTAAGATGTTGGCTCAACATTGAGGATATCTACTAGAGAAAGAAAATCAAAAATGGTTGATGATTATATTATGTATTTACAAAAGCTTGAGTATTATATTAGTTGAGAAAGATCATGAGTCTTTTTCACAAGTAAAGAGTTACAAAGAGTAAGAATTGTGATACAATAATAGGAAAGAAGAGCTTAATTCCATGAAAAGTATGTTAAGATCTTGTGCAATTATTTGAAGGTGTCAAAGTCATTTGTTGTAAATTGGTCTTAAAAAGAAACTCAATAAGAAATATAAAAAAAACATATAGCAAAACTCATTGTGAAAGGAATCAATTAGTTAAAAGTACCAATTACACTAAGATATTTAGTCATATATATTTAAGAAAGATTTTGATATTAGCGTTAATAGTTCATTCTGACCTTGAGTTACAGCAAATACATGTGAAACTCGTCTTCCTCGATGGTAGTATAAAAAAATATATACATGGAATAACTTGAAGAACTCTCCTTTAGTGATGGTGAACACTTGGTATACAAGTTAAAAAAGTTTCATATATAAATTGAAATGTTAGCTTCCATGAAATTATATCATAGTAATTCAGGTATCGAAATAATTCAATCTATGTGTGAAAATTGTTTAGTTTGTAATTCAAATACCAACTTTAACTATACATGAATAATATGAGCAAAGTGTTGAAAGTATTAAAATGGTTTTTAAGTTTGGTAACCAACTTTGAAAAAATGGTTTTCAAAGTTTGGTAAATGTTTCTTTGAAAATGGTTTTCAAAGTTTGGTAAATGTTTCTTTGAAAATGATTTTCAAAGTTTGGTAAATGTTTCTTTGAAAAATAGTTTTTCAAATTTTGGTAGATGTTTGTTGAAAAATGATAATGTGATAATCACAATTAATCCCTAGGTTTTAGGGTATTTACAAGATTAAGTCCTTAAGTTTAAATATAAATACCCTAGCTCATTTAGCTTCAAAATCATCCCAAAAATCATTTCTTTCTCCCAATACTAGAGAGTTTTCTTGTGAGTAGTGAGTGTTTTGTAAACACCTGTAAATTTTCTCTCTTAGTAAAAGATCTGCAGCAGTCCGGAGACGTAAACACAATTGGCTGAACTCCGTTATCAATTTCAGGTATTATTTTTCCGCTTTTATTTTGCATTCTCACTAATCTGGTTATAGGGAAATTACTTGTACTTGGTTTATTTCCCAACAACTGGTAATCAGAGCTTTTAGGTTGTGAATTTTGTCAATTTTTTGCGAGGTTACTATTTGGGTTACTATTCACGTGAATAGTGAATTTCGTGAATAGTGAAATTCGGTCGGCGATACGAGTTTGTCGACGGAGGTGTTCTAATACACGGCGGTTCGCAAAAATTGTTAGAAATGATCCAAACGAAGCCAGATTCGAGTGGGAGCGATGGCTGCAGACGAAGGGAATGTGAAAATTGAAAAGTTCGATGGTGCGGACTTTGGATTTTGGAAGATGCAAATTGAAGATTTTCTATACCAGAAAAATCTATATCAACCCCTCTCAGGAAAGCAACCAGAGGGCATGGAGAATGAAGACTGGACTCTTCTCGACAGACAAGCCCTCGGAGTTATCCGACTGACGTTATCCCGCAATATTGCTTTCAACATAGCAAAGGAAAAGACCACGGCGGGTCTTATGACGGCTCTCTCCAGTATGTATGAGAAGCCATCGGCCTCAAACAAAGTTCATTTGATGAGGCGATTATTCAATTTGCGGATGACGGAAGGGGAATCGGTGGCACAACACCTGAATGAACTCAACACAATCACAACCCAGTTGAGTTCAGTGGAAATTGAATTTGATGATGAAGTTCGAGCTTTAATTCTCTTATCATCTTTACCAGACAGTTGTAATGCTACTGTTATAGCAGTCAGCAGTTCGTCGGGAAACAACAAATTAAAATTCGACGATGTTCGGGATCTGGTACTGAGCGAAGAAATTCGACGGAGAGAATCGGGTGAAGCATCAACCTCCTCAGCCTTGCACACAGAGTCCAGAGGGAGAACTTCATAAAGAAATTCAAATCGTGGCAGATCGAAATCCAGAAGGGGAAAATCAAGAACAGGAAATAAAGATTTTACCTGTTATAATTGCGGCAAGAAGGGCCACTTCAAAAGAGATTATCGAGCACCGAAGAAAAATACCAGCGCACATGAATCTGCCAACATGACGGAGGAGACAGGTTATGCCATGATTTTAAGCGTCAATAGTCCGATTGAATCATGGATTTTGGATTCAGGAGCATCTTTCCACTCCACGCCATGCCAAGAAATCATGGAGAACTATGTCAGTGGTGATTTTGGGAAGGTTCATCTTGATGATGATGAAACCTTGAAGATCGTCGGAAAAGGAGACATCCGACTAAAGCTGCCAAACCAGACCACCTGGAAGCTGACAGGAGTGAGACATATTCCTGGTCTCAAAATAAATTTGATTTCTGTAGGACAGTGTAACACCCCCAACCCGTATCCGACCCTGATACGAGTCCGAAGTGTCACATTGACTTTTCAAACCTTGACTCTTAAGAAAAATCCCGGGAAATTTAAAACTTTATTTAAAACAAAATACAGACTTTATCAGAGTGCTCGTACTTAATGACTTATTACATGCCAACACTTTATACATAACCAAAAACATACTTTATCAAATATTTCTGATCTGATCTTTTGGTAAGGAAAACTGACCTGTCTTGCTCCGCATCACTCCTTACTCTTCTCGAAACCTACGTGTGAAACAATCACACGCTAAGTCGAAGACTTAGTGAGGCATAACCACTTATAATGCACTTTAAAACATATATTGATACATGCATGTTCTGTTCTATCATGTTATAGCAATTCCAGGCATTTTTCATATCGTATAGAATCATATCAGATTAATCGCAGTAAATTCATACATACACATAATTCATCATTCACATGTTATCATATAATCACATACTTTTTCAATCAAACACTATACACACAACATCATATAATTTCTATAGCATTTATCATACCACTAACTTATATTTGTTCATATCTCTGGATTAGCCCATGTATATATGTGAGAACTATCGATATGTAAGTCTATAGAGGTTGTGCACTATGCTGTCACCACAGCTCGTATAAATGCACCGAAGTGCCCCGTAGAATTGCACCGAAGTGCCCGTAGAATTGCACCGTAGTGCCCGTAGAATTGCACCGTAGTGCCCGTAGAATGATGTCCATAAGGACCACGTAGAATTCCTTAAGAATCATATACATATACTATGGATCAAATATGTGTCTTTCAAGACTTCACACAGGTTCCAAAGGATATACATATGTCCTAAAGAACCGAATAAACCCTCGACTCTTGGCATGCCAATTATACCCCTAGCTCTCATGACACATAACATGGGTGTTATCATTTATTTCATTTCAAATATACACATAAACTTGTAATTCACTTTCACATATCACGTATCACATAGCTTCTTTTCATATGATCACATAGTCACGTAGTTCACTTACCCGTAGATCATTTCCATATAATTCACATGTCACATATGTCATGTTTTCATATAATTTCTATCATTTCTCACCCAATCACCTTTATTCATATAAACATACTTATCATATCTTGTTCACATAAGATCATATACTTCATATAATATATCGAAACACCTAGAACACTTTCACGTAGCTTATAGTCATAAGTTTTGTCTCGTATCATATACTTGTTTTCACATATATATTTCCTATCAATTCTTATACCATCACATAATTCCTTTAACATACATAACATAT